GCAAATTATTTTTTTTATATATTTCATGGATATAATTCTCCAATGATTTCGAAAAAAACTAATTATGAAAGAAATATTGAAATATAAGTAATTATGCATAATCATAAGAGTGATTGAATTTCATGTTTGATAGTATTTTGCTATTTGGAAGTTATAAAGTTTGTAATGTGGCCCGCACATGCCATCCACGCTCGTCATTGAGCTTAACTAATGTAATGAATAAAAATTAGTTAATTATTAGAGGACGAATAATAAACTTAATTATTAATTTAAAAGTTGAACGCTTGCAAAAATCATTGATTTTTATGTTTTTAATGGCAAAATGCTTGCCTTTTAATTGGGAAAAATACCTTTTTTTAAACCTAAGAAGACAAAAAAAGAAAGAAAATTTCAAACGTCTTCCTTGAACTTACTAATTGAAATGTTCGAACGATTTTTAAGACTAGGGGGCTAAGACCCGTCCTCGCTGACACTCACCAGCCTCGAAGAATATTGCTTCGCAATAATTGCTGCTTTTTGGCATAAAACTGTTGAGATTATTCAACTAAAACGAGAACTTGTGCTGCCATTTCCAACGTACAAATATTCTCCTTAAGATACTATTAAGATCTATAAGTGAAAATTTATTAGTAATTTATGAGTAATTATTTTTTTAAATAACTTTTAAAATTAAAGGTATATCAGTACAATAAATTTGGTTAGTTCGCAACTGTAGTTTATTATTTTTGCTTTCCGAACGGACGGATGTGTTTTAAATTCAGTCTAAGTCATCACGTTGTGCATGAAGCTAAGAGTTAAGCTCTAAATCATTTAACGAATCACTTTAAGCATAATTCAAAATAGTATATTGGTGTAATTTGCACCAAAAATAATAATTGTAAGATGGTTAGTAGGATCAGACACCGATTTAAATGTCTTTATTTTAAGAATTAATTAAATAACCGATTTGAATATAACGCAGAATTACCATATAATAATACGAATAAACATTCCTCTTAAACTCTTAATTTATAAAATCAAAAGCGTAATAATTACGGTACAGGTTAATACCTTTAAATCAAGGATACAAAAATATTTATAGGAAAACAATACCTTAATGGCTTATATGAATTTTATGTTGATGACAACCAAACCAATATGAAAATTAACGTGGGGAAAGTGGATCCTACCATGTGATTTTCTCCCCTATAAAAATGCATCGACAACAATAGAAAACTGCGACACCATCATTAGATAAGGGGCTATAAAATGATCCTTTTCAAGACTCTGCATAAGTTTAAGAACGTAAAACTAAGACAACTGTTTTGTATTGATAAGGGAGAAACACAGATAAGCTGTTCATTTTATTATTATAGAAATATCTAAGATAAAAATAAAAACACTTTAATTAACTCCTTAACGATCGGTTAATTTTCAAGAAAACGGTCATAAAAGTGCCTATTTTTTTCCGACATCCAAACATCTTGTGCTTGCATCTAGTTTAAAATAAACTAACAATCCACAATTACCTTAAAAGTATCCTGGTACTGCCATCTGGTGTGTAAAATGAGAAATAAAATTTTTTCCGGGAAAAGAAATAATTTAGTTTTATTCTTATTGGCGCGTTACTACTGAACACTCCAGCCCGGAAATATGACGGGAGAGAGAAATGGAGGGCGAAACCTCACCCCGTCATTTTCACGGGAGCGAGAAGGAAGCGTAAATAACTTTCAGAATTGCCTTAATCAAATCTTTATTACTACGAAAAAGCTGAGAGTTGTAATCAATGAAGGTGGGGTGACTTTAGCGTCCCCTTTTTATTTCCATTTCACTAGAATACATAAAACAATAAATATTAAGTCTTACTTTAAAGTTTTTTATAAACAACATCAATAAACTTTTAATTTAAAAACCGTTTCAAAGTTAAATAAAAGTAACCACATAGTAAGTATAAATAAATAGTTCAAAAGTTAACCTTTTATTGAAAGTTACCAAAAAATTTTATACATTGAATACTGAAAGCTATGGGATCCCATAATTGGACATAACGTTCCATGAATGCCTTTAAAACTCTAATGGAATATTGATTCTTTATAAAGAACCGATTATACGGGTTAAAGTAAAAGGATATTGATTTGATGCACTAAGTTAAGGAACTGCCGATATAAAGTTTTGTCCCGCTGAATGACTTTGGGAATTCAAATGTGAATTTAACTGATCTAAGACGAGAAAACGAATGGTTTGTCTTTAGAGATATTTAACGAAAATAAATCACCTTATTTACTTTGTTTTTCAATCTATCATTTTTGTAATTACATTATCCTTAAAGAATGTTAAAGAGTACGTTTATTTTAATGCTTATATGGTAATATTTTTAAAAAATGTATATATTGAAATATGTTTATAATTTATGTGAATTTAACTGATAAAATGCAAGAAAAAGAACAGTCGGTCTTTTTTTACATTTAACAAAAATAAATCTTCTTATTCACTTTTTTAACCAATTTATCACTTTTGCAATCACATTTACTTTTAAGAATGTTAAAGAGAATGGTTATTTAAATGTTTATTTGGCACTACTTCAAAAAATGGTATATATTGGTAAATAATGATATAAATTCGTACTTTGTGTGAATTTAATTGATAAAATATGATAAAACGAATAATCTGTCTATATTTACATTTAACAAAAATAAATCATACAACTTACTTAGTTTTCCAATTTATTATTTTTTCAATTTACTTACTTCAAAGGATATTAAAAATCACAGTTAGTTTAGAGTTCATATAGTATTATTTAAAAAATATATATAAAATTTATTGAAATATATTAATACTTTATCTAAATTTAACTGAAGAAGAACTTAAAAATTTAATAGTCTGCATTTAGGGATATTTAGCCTAAATAAATCATTTTATTAACTTTTTTTTCCCAATTTGTCATTTTTGGAATCACATTCACTTCTAAGATTGTTGAAAAGAACAGCTAGTTTAGTGTTCGTACAATATTAATTCAAAAACACAAAATTTATTGAAATATATTAACAATTTATGGGAATTAAACAGATAAAGAATTTTAAAAAAAAGAATAGTCTGCCTTAAGTGAAATTTAACGAAACGTACGAACATAACGAACTTAATGAATGCGTAAGGATAATAAAAAGAAACTTGATATTAAATTTAATAAATTCATAGCAAATACATAGATTCCTTCACTTTCCTTGGCGAAAATTATGTGTGAGATATATTAACGAATTTTTATGAATCCCAAACCTTAGCAAACATATAAGGGTTTGCTAATGCTATTCTTATGTGTTAAGCACATGTAGAGGGAATCTTTAAAAATAGATTTTATTATGCACTCAATTAAAGGTTGCAGTATAAAAAGATTGCAGGTTATATTAAGGAATTTTATTTAAGGAATAAAGGATTAAATGAGATAATAATTTGGTTTTTGAATGTTAGGAAATATGTTAAGCATATTTCAGCATGACATCTATGTATTATCAAAATTATCGATATTTAACAACAATTAATACTCTAAATAATTAAAATTTGCATTTTTTTACACCGATTAAAAGTTTCGTTGCCTATATTTAAATTGAAAATAATCAATACTAATAATATTATTGTACTCATAATTATTGTTGTATTACATATTAATGATACTATCTTTTTGATACGTGATGTTATCGTAGTTTGTTGAATGCAACAACGTGATTTAAATTTCTTGAGATGCAATCTTATTCCATAAATATATTTTTAAACAATGATCATGATATTTAGGAATTTTTATCGTTAATGATTGCGATAATGTCGAAATACTCGCAATTATAATATTATTGTACTGAATATACTTATAGGCATTTCCTTGGAACCTGATTCACATATGCATGTCACAAAATATAGCCGTGTGAATCTCACTGTATTGTATTATATTTATACTAAATTGTATTTTACACACGTTTTAAACAATGATTTTCATTTTATTTAATGAAAGAAGAATATATTAATGTTAAGTGTAAATTTTGTCAACGAAATGAATATTCTATAATTTCATTATTAACTGACACTTTATCATATTCAAGAATTACGAAATTGTTAAAATTACTACTGCTTATCTTATAAATAGTTCAGCATTTGAAAATTAAGCTATCTTAAGGTATGCAATACATAAAATTTGTCTCATCAATCGCTCAAATAATTTTTTCTTTTATAGACTTCTAACGATTCCAAGCACTAAAAAAATTCGATTTCTCTATCTGTGTCGTCAATAAATTTACGAGTAAATTTAGGCAAAGAAAAATGTAGCGAACTCTTTTAACAAAAAACATTATCTTGACGTGTGTTTTGGCATGGATGTTTTGATTTTGGTTTTTGAAATACATTTGTGCTTCTAAGGATTTTTTCTAAGAATATACTCCCTTTGAGTAGTTATTTTCTATATAATCAGCGTGGTATAATGAATAAAACTATCTATTAAAGAAGCATTCGACAAATTATTTAAAATTTCATAGCTGAGTACATCTGTGTGCCCAATATTTGTTGTTAAAAAATTGTTATTTGAATTTGCACACACCTGACTCTTGAAAACATTTTATTTAATCTGTAATCAAATGAATGCATGGAATTCTAGTCGATATCATTGAAATCATTCATAGATATGAAATTTTGTTCTTGTTTTCGTTTTTTTAAATATGCAAACATAAAAAAAGTCTTAAGGCTCAAAGATTGAGAAATTTTTAAGCCGCTTTAAAGTAATATTTCTTTTTGTATTAGTGAATTAATTATTGATTGTAAATTAAGTATGATGATATGGTGACCAAAAATTACTTGCCTTAATTAAAAAATAAAATATCACTTTTATTAGAGAATAAAATGTCCTTGAGATACTGTGCCCCCCCCCTTTAAATGATATTTTTTTCTTTCTGCAAACACAACAAAACTCCCGAATTGCATTCTTTCCTATTATTTACAGATAAAAAAAGAAGCCCAAAAAACAAATTCAAGAATGGCTCTTCTTTGATAAAATTATACAAAACTTGACTGTAGCATTTCGAATTCAATGAATTTTCAGTTACACTCTTATTCTTTGCATTTCTTGAATATTTCAACAAATCCTCTGAGTTTCACCGCCAGCCGTTAAATGAAGAATGGGGCAGAGAGAGACTCAGCATCTACGGCGCCCTCTTTCAAATCCGGTGTCAAAGAGTGGGACGGCTATTTATTCTAGAGTGGGAGGAAAGTTCTAAGAGAGAGGGTGCTTAGTTCGATACTGCCTAATGCATCAACAACGTGGCTAAATCAATGCGAATATCCCTAACTGTCACGTGCATTCATGCAAATATCTTAAGTTAGAAATATAACAGAATAAAAATTGGGATAAACGTTTGTTTTTTGTATGTGCCATTGCTTTAAGAAATGGGGGCTTTAGCCTGAATTTACGATTGCCTATTTCGATAACTTTGGAAAAAGTGTCCAGTTGTGAAAAATCAACAAGTTATGCGCTGCATTAAACTTTTAAAACAATTTGTTGTTGTGATACGCCTATGAGATTTGGATTTTAGTAGATATTTATTGTGTTTTAATTTTATTAGAAAAAGTTTAAATTCTGTTATGGATGATATGGTGAAATTTAATGGAAGCATGTTTATCCTACTGGGACTTTTTTACATTCTGGCCAGTCCAGGTAAGAGAGATTATTTCCAGAAAAATGAGTAAACGATAATTATTTTTATAAAATTAAAAATAGAATAAACTTCTTGAACTAATTTAAATCGCTTTTTAGACAAAGAAATCGTAAATTCGAATAAATTTTCACTTGTTTCTACCAAAGCAATTATAGCATGCCAAAAGAGTTTTTCGATTAAGATATTTTTAACAGGTAATTGAATTCATTGGGATTGACTTAAAAATTTAATTGTTTATATGCAGTCTATTTGCAGGGTGAGACAAAATATTTTTCCACATTGAAAGAATATTAAACTACTAATTTATAAGATAAAAAAGCATTTTAATTTATTTAAATGATCATATATATATATGAAGTTCAATCAGTATATTTGTAATAATTTAATAGCTTGTTTATAGAATGGATACTAATTTAATAACGCATTTACGGAATGCATAATTATTTCAAAACGTATTATGATAATTTAAAACATGAAATAACGTAATATATCTCAAACAAACAAAATATATCTTTTTAAAAATAAATTATCTAAGTTTTTGGTAGTTTAAATCTTTAATATTAGTTTTGAACACTGTAATTCAAGTCTTTTTCGACCATTGATCTAAGAATTGTGTAGCTCAATACTGTAGTTGATGCAACATAATATATTTGAATATACAATACATTTTTAGAAATTGTGAACCATGTTGATTCAAAATATCGAATAATTTTAAGGCATTCTCAATAAGGTATAAAATTTAAACCTACCATCATGCAATTTATTTCCTCTTAAATTGAGTTGTTTGTTATTCTAGTGGAAGCTGAACGGAAAACACCTATAGTGAATGCAGCCAAAATTATTCTGAAATATAAATGAACACAACATAACTCAAGCGTACAAACAAAATAAATTGTTTTGGACAACAACAAAATTTTTTAATTTTGATAGTTTTAAAAGCTTATAGTTAGTTTTTAATAAAGTTACGCAGTAATTCAGATTCGTTTAGACCATATATTTAGCTCAATATGAGGATTATTCAACCTAGTATATCTAAAAAAACAATACAATTTTAGAACTTTTGGAGCGTGTGTTGTACCAAAATATCTATTTATCTGATAGCAACTTAAATAAGCTTTAATATATGGGAAATTTTTAATTTGATCGTGCAATTTTTTCTCTGTTAAACATTATCACTCTTTTGTCTGGAGCAGTGGTGCAATTTGAATGGAAAAACCTAATTGAGGATTCAGATAAATCGTACCAAATTACGAATCAATGCTAAACGTTCGTTATGGTTCGACGTTGTTTTGGGGACAACTGTGTCATGACGAGAATATTTGAAAGGATTTTATTTCACTTTAATTTTAGAATATAAGTCGTTAAGTTTAAAAATTTAAGTATATGATTTGCTTGAATTTGCAGAAATAGATTCATCGATAGCAATCAAAAAAATACAATTTGTTAATTGAGTTATGGTCGTTAATACCTCGAATTTGACGTTTAATATGATGACGATTAACTTAGAACTATTTAGACAAATTTTTGATGTTCGGCAAATTAGACAATTTATACTAAGTGAAGATATATAGTCCCTGGAGGGAATTAGTCGGAATTAGTTTTCTTAATAATTACATGTCTTGCACCAGTTAATATGCAATACTTTTATATTTAGATATGTAATGGACTTTTATTCAGGAAATTTTTTATATACTTCCTATTTGTATTAATTTTTAACGTATTGCATTACAATATTAACCAATTGATACACGAATGTAAAAAAAGTGCAGACCTATTTCAGTTGCGTTCTCGCGTGTTTCTAGTTGTAGACGTGCTTCTGTGGTTTTATGCGCTGATTTTCTTTTCTTCGCAGTTTTTTACTATGCAGTTATTTGTTTATTTTTTGTGCAGTGTATAAATAATCAATGCAAAAAAGCTGAAGTTAAAGCCCTCGTGAGCGTCTAATAATTTGGCCGGGGACTGTAAAGCCCACAAAGTATGAATATAAAGTATAAAATTGTTTTACTATTGCATGAACAAAATGGTGGGTAAAACTTGAATTCACACAATCTATAATAAAGAAAATTATCCTTTGGTTAGGCATCACCAAAAAGATTTCGGAAATTAATTAAGCTCAAAGAGCAAAACTGATTCATAAAAATGTCTCTTTAATTCATTCAAAGTATCTATAAGCCAAACCAAAGTATACCATATATTTTTCTTTAAATTTAATTTCGATATATACTTGGTATCTATTTTTTACAGACAGGGAAAAAAGTCAAAAAATAATTGGCAATATAAAAAAACGTTTAAAGCAAGATAAATCATTCCAAAAAAATTAATGTCTTTTTTTAAATACCTTAATCAATTGACATTAAATGGATTGTTTTAATGAATTAATATTTCATTATTAATGTATTAATATTTTTATTTCTATTAATTATTTAAATAAATCACCTATGAAGGAAAAATGAATCGTATACATGTTATATGTTTTTGCGTAATAAATATTCGTAAATAGTGTAAAATTTTATTTAATTTCAAATCATTTCAGAAACAGCTGGTACAGCGAAACAGATTGAGNCATTTGTATTAATTATTTAAATTAATCACCTATGAAGGAAAAATGAATCGTATACATGTTATATGTTTTTACTTAATAAATATTCGTTAATAGTGTAAAATTTTATTTAATTTCAAATCATTTCAGAAACAGCTGGTACAGCGAAACAGATTGAGTTTAATTAGTTTATAAAAATATAAAAGACACATAATTATCATAAAATAAATATATTTTTTAACACGCATTTAAATAAAATTTATCTGTGTCTTACCTGAAACCTATCTTTTATATCTTAATGTCCCAAAAATAACAATATACAGCTTAATTTTTTATTTTATTGCGGTAGAGTGCACAAAATAAATAAATGTAAAAAATATAAATTAGTGGAATTTTTTAACGAGCATTTAAATAAAATTTAGCTGCATTTATCTAAATCATATCTTTTATTCCTTAATGTCACAAAACAATAATAATATACCACGTAAATTTTAAGTTTATTGGGGTAAGTAGAGTGCCCAACGAAATAAATAAATGTAAAAAGACTCAGTAAGCAGACAAAAAAATCACAATAAGTAGGTTTTTTTAACGCGCATTTAAATAAAATGTATCTGCATCTTGCCTGCAACCTATTTTTTATTTCTTAATGTCACGAAAGGAATAAATAATAAATAGCTTTATTATTAATTTACTGTGGCGGAAAAAGTGCGCAAAATAAATAAATGCAAAAAAACTAGGGCAATTGAATAGCTTTTGATCTAATAATCGAATTCCAACGTGCTAACATGAAATCAGAACGGTTCGAGCACATGCCATTAATTATTCCCAATCTGGTAAATACTGTCTCAAATGTTTAGTTACAAAAAAATCTGAGTAAAATTTCTTATTATTAATATCGTGTGAGTCCTTTTTATATGACATCAATTAAGAACTATTAAATGCTTTTATTCTAAGATATTTTTAATGATAATTAATATTTTTTTACTCTAAAATTTAATCGGCTTAAAACATTTCAATTAAAAGATACATATTCATTATTTAATATCAAACTACATAAATTTTAATGCCTAAATCCAAATTCCACGCGGAATCAATTATGAGGTAAAAAGCAGAGATACGGTTTAATTAAGTATTCAGTTAAAAATGAAAAAATAAATGAAGTAAATTTGCATATTTTATTGCGCTTTACACTTAATTTGTATTGTGATATCTCAAGCCATATAGTTTCAAACATCGTAAGTTATTTAGTAGCACATAACAATTTGTCGAAAATACAAAAATATGTTTAAAAAGGAATTATTAAGGACGTTGATAATTTTATATCTATATTTCCAAAATTAATTAAAGATCAAGAAATTTATATGTTTTCTTCCAACTAATATAGCTTGTTGTTAAACAAGAATCATTTACATAACTTGATTTTCTTTGAAAAACAAAAGATTTTAAGTCTTTCATTTTGATACTAAAAGCATGAAATTATATTTATATCATTTCAATCTCAAATCAATATTTTGGATATTTTCTTCCTAGTGTTTTCTTTTCTTTCAACATTGATTACCTATTTTGTGAAAACATTTTTGAAATTATAAGTATTTTGCAGGAAAGGGAATAGAGAATTTTAATTAATTATACTACCTGTTGATCCTGCTTTCGCGGAAAATGGTTGACTTTTAATTAGTGATGCAGGAGCTATGCATGCTAGTTGTGCAATGTGAGTGAAACGTCATGATGAAAGCACAACGCAAGGGGGTTCCATTTATTATTATATAAATTATTAATTTGCTCATCTACATGCAGTCATAGTTAATCAAATTTAACTAATTTTGATTTAAAATATGATATTTTATTCTTACGTGGATATGGAACTTTTTGTTGACATCTCCTTAAACGTTCAATGAAGACATCTTAAGTGTTTTAATCAATTTTAAAAAAATTAATCAATTTTAAAAAATATATAAATTCTAATGTTTTTGAAAATTGCACGCCACACGAAGGAATTATGCAACTTGAGCAAAACTTGTTTGAAATGCGATGTGGGGAAAGAAATGCTAACGGGTAATAGTTAAAATTCTAAAGCAAGTACGCATATACCACTATTGCTAAGGTTTATTTGCCCCACTATTAACGCTTTAAAACACCATTAGAAGTATATGCATATTATGCAACTATATGTATGTAGATTATATGTATGTACATATTATGCAACATTGTGGTCTAAAATAAATTCCTTTGGTATGATTGTATAGTGTATTATAATATAATACATGAGCGAGTTTGAATTCCATGGGTTAATATTTAAGGACATCATGCACATCATCACAATTCATGTTTTGCTTGATATATATNTATATATATATCAAGCAAAACATGAATTGTGAATGAATTTGAGGCATGTTGTTTTACTTGCAAACTGGTCTTTGTTTACATTTTATTAAATGTCTCACATTTCAACTTTCGCTT